ATCTTTTCTATCTCTTTCTTATTATATTATTTACTGGCTGTTTACTTAGCCCTCTGAGCAAATAAAGTGTATGAAATACTTGTTTGGGGTATGATTCATAATCAACTGCATATGAAGAAAGTCAGGAGCAGTGCAATATTGTCGGTTTTCAGTGATTGCTGTGGAAGTAAYCAGTGAAGTYGAAGAACAGTTTTWTGATAAGTTACAATTTATCAAGCTMACGTTAAATTGATTTAACTTTTCTGTAGATCCAGGTTTCCATTTATGAAGGCGCTGAACCTGAACTTTTCCCAGTAGTCGAGCGATTTATAAAAGATGAATGYGAGTCAATGTCCATATGAATATGCCATAGAAGTTATAAGAAATTACGAYTTTCTTAGAAATCCATTTATTGTTATAACTTTCTTGAACATGGTTTTGTCCATCTCAGCAACTCTTGGAAATGGATTRGTTATCGTCGYTATCTTGARATCCCAGAWCCTYCAAACACCWTCATACCTTCTGATAACAAGTTTGGCGTTCACTGATCTTCTGATTGGATTGGTTTATCATCCGTACTTTACTTTAGTTAACATTCTTCTGCTCAATAAGAATCTTAACGTATTGTGTAATTACTATGGCTTTTTTGCTGCTTTTTCTACTGTAGTAGTTTTTATTGCTTCAATTTCACTCGTTATGAATGCTTTCATCAGCATCGACAGATATCTAGCGCTGAGTCTAAGACACCGATACAGAATTCTCGTGACGAAAAAGCGAGTTCGAATCGCAATTATTTTTGGATGGGTTGGAAGTGCTGTCCTTTTTGTTTACCATAATGTGCGTTTTTTAGCGTATTGTGTTGCATCCGTGGCATTATTAGTTACCATTGCACTCTACATCATGTCCTTTGTTATTCTTCATCACTATTCATCGCAAGTTCACGTCCAACAGCCCAACTCGTCACAATGCAGCTTTGATGTTGTGAAATACAGAAAGACTTTGAAGACGATGGTCGCCATATTGGGAATCTTTATAGTTTGTTCAAGTTTTATATTATTAGCAGCTATTGCTCAGGGTATAGGATTCAACAAATACACAATTTCAGTTATCATTGTTGGATATACAGCATTTGGTGCTTGCTCCAGCATCAATCCCGTTATTTATTTCACTAGATTTAARGATATTTGGCAAGAGAGTAAGCTTCTTTTGAAAAGGTGTTGTTGAGGACATAACACTATCATTCAAGACTTAAACTGAATGGAGAAATAACTCGAAGGCTGACCGAGCAATGTACTATAGAAAGAAAAGACTGACTTATAATAATAATAATAATTAATAATTTATCAATTTTAATAATATAATGATTTATTAATTTATATAGCGCAATTAATTATTAAAATATTCTAATGCGCTTAACAATAGTTGAAAAATTATATATATTYATAAAATCTTGAATAACATCAGTTAATATATAACCAACTCCATAATCATAGAAATACCCATTTAAGTGGCTTGTCATTTTTTTAGTATAAGAATTAACAACTCGGCTTTGATCATCCAATAATATGTATCTTTAATCTTTATTCATGGAACCCCTTGTTTCATCGACTTTTAGCCAGATGTAAAAAAATAGACGCATATGGTAACTTACAATTGTTTAAAATAAATATTCATTTATACTATAATTAGTATCACCTTATTTTCGAACACTGTTTAGATTTTAATCCTCTTATTTCTTCCAACATTGTTTCTCTGCTGAAACGAAACATGAACGTTTTGTGTAAGAACTGTCTTTTACTCATTGCTGGTTCCCACATATAAAGTGCTTTCCTTGCTTTGATTTCACTCCTTATAAACGCTTTCATCATTAAAGACAGATATCTTGGCAGACAGATATCTACTCCGCCATTTAGGTTGACAATATGATCAATTAACAAAAGACTATCTCACAGAAATGCATTTCATCTTAGAACACAAAGTGAGGTGCACAAATTATTTTTTGGTACATGGACAGTTTGAGTCAGTTTTGAATAAATATTAAGGCTTTTCAAGGTCTCAAATCTTTCACGAAGAAACAAGGGATTCTGGAGTTATGTCCTTGTTTATTCGAATGATAGATAGCCTTATTCATCATACCCTTGAAGACTTTTGGTCTGTTAAAAAGACAAAGGTTGTGTACAAGGACTTGAAAACCGCTTACAACTACAGCTTTCCAATCGCTTCCTGAGCTAGAGAATACAGAAAGACCACTAGCAATGCCAAGGCTCAAATATGCAAGAATTTGGTATAAATCCTGATGCATGGGAAGTGATTACTCACTTGCCAAAAACTGAAGGCAGAATTGGACTTTTCAGGAAAATGAAGAAGTACTGACGTTGGGGTATGTTCACGCTAATTGGCTTCATCACGTGTACATCACGTGCACATCGTTGCCAGGATATACTTGTGTGCTTGGCTATTTCTGTGGTGGTCTTTATAATACAACTTGAATCGCACTTACGCTGTAGTTTTATCGCTCTGACAATGTTACATGCTGCTCTTAATCAAACAAACAAACTTGAACAATTCAAGGAAATCTAAATAATTAATAGAAATATGTGTTATTTCAGTAGAGAGTTAAAGTCGTTATCACTTAACACAACGATATATATGATCCAAAGAGCAATAAATATCGAAATCAAAATAGTTTATTGGTTTTGGTGCTCTCGCKTTARAACTGATCTTTTYARTGCTTYCMTCTTCYACGGTAYCTTATTTTGTCGYGKTGATTATGGTAAMTAATTAACWTTCAMAATGAYACACCAATGAACCTGCGCGASTTTGTATATCACCGGTGCATTTATATTCAAAGGGAAATTTCCCTTTCTGAGTGTGTGTCAAGTTGCATTRGTATCTTAATTGTTGTGTTGATATGTCTCAAGTATGAAATTCAATTACAGAAATAATTACCTATGAACATCTTTGGTAAAAAGAATCAAATCGTTTCTTTTTTGTTGAACAAAGCCAGCTGTGCGCGAATTTTGTGTTTATTTCAGAAACCAAATAAAAAATTGATTCTGAAGATTTAGCAAGACACGATCCTGTTTGTAGGATAGCACAAGCCAACCATTGATACGAAATGACAATATCTTAAGTTACAATAGCAAAAAATGGATATAAATTTCAAATATCATGCATGAATGTTACTTTACATCTGATTGTCTAGTTTAATGGCTAGTCGTAAAGCTCTGAACCAATCAGAATTGATCGAATGGTACACATATATTGAGTATATCATTTGGTCATGACAAATTTGCTTTACATATCCCTATTGTAAATCTGAGAAGTCCGCCAGGTGAAGTGATATAATCTATCAACTATTCACAAGATTTGAGATGAATGTTAGTGACTGTTCAAATGCATTTGCTGCAGGAGTCATGAAGAATTATGATTTTCTTAGGAATCCACTTATTGCTACCACTTTCTCCAACGCGATTCTGTCAATTTTAGCAACACTTGGAAATGGACTGATAATTGTCGCCATCTTGAGATCCCAGAACCTCCAAACACCATCTTAYYTACTGATAACAAGTTTGGCGTTCRCTGATCTTCTGATTGGGTTAGTTTACCACCCGTTTCTTACTTTCTATAACGCTCTTCTGCTGAATGAGAATATGAAAGTATTGTGTGATAAGTCTGTATTATTTGAAACTGGTTCAGACCTAAGTATGTGTCTTGGTTTGATTTCACTCGTTATGAAYWCTTTCATCAGTATCGACAGATATCTAGCGCTGAGTCTAAAACACCGATACAGAATTCACGTTACGAAAAAGCGAGTTCGTATCGCTATTGTGATTGGATGGATTGGAAGTGCTCTCAATTTTGTGACGATGCGTATTATTTCTATTTTTAAACTCCAAAATGGGTTTTTGACGCTTTTACTGGGAGTTGCTACAGTAACTATYACATTTGGATTTTACATCATGTCTTTTATWAAACTTTATCGTTACACATCGCAAGTGCACGTCCAACACCCCGACTYATCRCAGGGRAGCTTTGATGTTGTGAAATACAAGAAAACTTTGAAGACGATGGTGGCCATATTGGGATGTTTTCTTGTTTGCTCCTGTTCTGCAGTGGCACCCACTATYGSATATTATTACGCTGAACATAATAAGTTCACAAAATTATCTGGTATTGTTAATTTTACAATATTCGGAGCTAAGTCTAGTATAAATCCAGTTATTTATTTGGTAAGATTTAAAGATATTCGTCAAGAGTGTAAGCTTCGCTTAAAATTCTAATTTGCCAAACTAAAAAAATGATATGAACTAAAGGTCATTYCCTAGAAACGGCTGCCTGTTAGGACACATGAAGACTCAAAATAGATTTTGCGTTAAAAATKGCATCAGTTTTCTATAGATGATGGTGTACGCGCGTACTCAACTTTTAGTCTGGCAGGAATGCCCAAATCATGCAAATCAAACAATGTCCTTACAAATTCTTGTTTAATCACATTCTGGAGGATATTCAGCAAAAAAAGAGAGCGGCAAGAAGTGCAAGGCGCACATACAAAGAAACTGTCCTTAATTATAGTTATTTATATGAACAGTTTTGAAAAATGGTAGCATTTTCAAGTTCTCCAGTCTCGTACGAAAAGATAGATCCTGTTGATCCTTTGGTCTTGAGCCATTTTCATCATGCTCTTGAAGGACTTTCAATAAACAAGAAGAGCATTCCATCATCCAATCATGGAGCATCCTGCTGGACGGAGGTTGTGTAGGAGGAGAATGCCACTTTTGTTCCTCTAAATGAACTGAGATTACGACAAACAATTATATAGACCTTCCCTTGTAATGGGCAACACATTAACCCTTCAAGCCACCAAAGAAATTGAACACTTGGCTTAATATTCTTGATAGACTTTCAGGAACTTGGACCTTTAGCTCCTCGGAAACGTATTTTTTTTCTTATTAGAACCTTTTCCATTCCAGGAAAAATTGTAATTCCTAAATTCACCACGTAGTAAATTTAGAATCTTGCTGCTAACCAATTGTTAATTRCAATTGTCTGGGTCATGAGCACTACAGAAATATTTCTCGCAGGAACCTGAGATAATGAATGGAAAGACAACGGTACAAAGACACAGTGAAACCTCAGCTTCAGATACAACGACATTCTCAAGGAATTTGGTAGCTGTTCTGATTCATTGGAAGTATTAAAAACCTCAAGATCGCACTGAGGGTCAGCGAGTTATGGCCACAGAGTATACATGGCCAGAAAATCGGACATTTGAGCCCGCAATCGCAGCGGTACTTCGCATAAATGCATAAAAACATGTTTGTAAATTTTACAAAGAAATGTATGGATCAAAAAAAATATTTGAGAATAACATTTCATCTGTTTTAACTGGAAAGATTCCATAGATGAATTCGTAGAGGGAAACTATTCTTGATTCCACTGTAGGAAATCCAAATAAATCCAATATTGTTAACAGCGTCCTTTTTGACAATTTATTTTCCTTTCGTCGTCTCCCTTTGGCCTTGTATCTCATGGTGAAAATTCGCGAAGAAGCGAAATTTCACCGTCTGATCGTGTTCCTTTACATGTCACTGATATTCCATAGATCATTTCTCAAAGTCCACATATTGAGGTAGGAACACAGCGATTTTCAGCTATTTTGAAGACGATCAACAGCGTCCTTTTTGGTACTAGAAATTGTACAATTTGAAAACACTAACTTGACGGTGAAACGGCTGGCAAAGACGCGTGTTTCGCGCGAATAATTGGCCTCGATCTTCCATTTTCTTTTCATTTTATTCGCCATGTTTGGTACCAAAATAAACCTTAGAAAACGTGGCTTTCAGACTGGAACTGCTTTAATTTTGGCGGTTTTTACAGGCGCCTTGCGCGCAGTGGTAAATAGCGGGAAATACGAACGACAGATCAAGTCTACGCTATTTAGTGTAAACAATGTCAGACCTTTGCAATTCCTTAGAAATGTACAAGTATAAACAAAAGATCACAATATCAACTGATGATCATTGTTTAAAATACCTGAGGGAAACGTGTATTCCAGCAAATAATATTATTTACACTATGAACATTCCAAACGAGCACCTCACAAGCCACTAATGCACTCAAGGATCAGGGCGTGCTATCCCAATACTCGTTTGTCGATGTTTTGCCAACGTTTCAATTTTAGCCCAGTATTGTATTAAGATAAAGGATCGTTGCACAAGAGTATAGTAGAAAATTTGATCTTCAAAAGTTCAAACCTCAAGGGAACTTGTAGAAAGCTCTATTTTGGTGGGAATGTCCGGAATTTCTGGCCATGGGTTTCTAGTTCAAAGAGAAACGAGTAACCTTCTAGTAGAATGGTTTGACAATACCCAACTGTACTAACACGAAAAGTGCAACTGAATCTGCTGATCAAGCATGTCCCCAAAATCATCAAAAATTTGGTCATCGCATCAATATTTTGGTGAGTTGTCTTATTTTTCTTGATTCTTTCTCGGATACAATTGAGTTTTGAACATTTGGGCCATCGTCGAGTGTCAATATATGTACAACTCAAAACTACTCGTATCTCGTTAAGCAATCGCTATTTTACCGTCTGCTATATATTAATTTGGTACTTAATTATACATTAAATTATCCATGTTTAGTAGCCAGACTAATTTTTTGCAGAAATAGTAATTACCATTAGTCATTCTTGTTCAAATAATTGAAGTGTTTCAACCAACTGTGCAAATATATCAGCGAACAACATCGACTTAGTCGGTGTAATATATCAGCGAACAACATCGACTTAGTCGGTGTAATATATCAGCGAACAACATCGACTTAGTCGGTGTAATATATCAGCGAACAACATCGACTGCCTTGGGTCATTACGTGACCAGCTTTGCTACTCTTAACCAATCAGATTGGATTGAATCTATAGTTATTAGTCCTTAGGGACAATTTTTCTTTCCTTGACAAGTACCAGCAGTCAGTAGAACTAGTCTTTCACAAGTACATATTTAAACATTCTCAGTTGAGATTTTTTTTTGAGATGAATACAACAGAATGTTCTGATATATATTTCGCGGAAGTAATAACAGATTATGATAATTTCAGGAATCCAGTTATTGCTTTAACTTTCTTCGTCATTGTTTTGTCAATCACAGCAACTCTTGGAAATGGTTTGATTATCGTGGCCATCTTGAGATCACAAAACCTCCAAACACCATCTTAYYTACTGATAACAAGTTTGGCGTTTACAGATCTTCTGATTGGATTGGTTTATCATCCTTTACTTATTTTCATTAACAGTTTTATGCTGAAAACGGAGAAAATACTTTGTGAGGATTTTTCTTTGTTCYTYGCTGTCTCCACCATAAATTCCTTTCTCGCTTTGATTTCACTTCTTATGAATGCTTTCATCAGYATCGACAGATATCTAGCGCTGAGTCTTAAGCACCGATACAGAATTCACGTGACGAAGAAGCGAGTTCGCGTCGCTATYATATTTGGATGGGTTGGAACTATTTTCCTTGTTTTGGTCAAAACAGTTATATTTGGCACTAAAGACGTTTATTCAACGTTTCTCCTGGTAGCTGCCACGCTGGCCATTTCCCTCGGTATTTACATTATGACCTTCATAACTCTTCACCGTTACACATCACAAGTACACGCCGAACATCCGAACTTGTCACAAGGGAATTTTGATGTTGCGAAATACAGAAAAACGTTGAAGACGATGGTCGGCATATGGGGATGCTTTGTAGTTTGTTCCAGTGCTTTAATTACACCAACCATTACTTTCTTGGCTTTTGGTCGCAGTGCCGYCACAGTTTATGGAGCTATGGTTAGTTATGCAGTATTCGGAGCTAATTCCACCATAAATCCAATTATTTATTTGACGAGATTTAAAGATATTCRGCAAGAATGCAAGTTACTATTTCGGCAAATGTAAATTACCAATCATTATAACGCTATTACCAGAGAGGGGTTKTCTATATGCAAACGCTATCAGTATCATTGCAATTATTATTTTTGGATTGATTTCATGCTTTATAATGCCTTTATCAGCATTGACAGATATATAGCTCTTGCCGATATAGAATTCATGACGATAAGAGGCCAATTTGCATCCCTAATTTCAAGCTGTACTGGTCCACGATATATYTCCTGCAAATTGATTTAGTCGACGTTTTCTCATTTGTAAGTCTTTATTCACTGATGGTAGATTGATGTTTTCATAGTTGAAATTGTAAWGTTTAATGTAAATGAAACATTCTGTTGACTTAAAGTATCGCTTGTTCGACAGTTGAAATTATAAACTTTACACTTTTGCACCCCCTCATACAGTTCTCTGTTAAAATTCGCGACTTTGCACAGCTGTATCTTATGTTTTTGACGCACCACCTTCAAATTTGGCAGGCTTACTAATTCTAGACTGTTCTGTCCTGTGGAGGCGATGAATTTTCGTTAACTGATTTGTGTCAAATGGCGGAAATAASCTTGATTTGTTCTATTGAACTATCGATAGCTCGACAGTTGAAATTATGAAACTTTAATRTTGGCTGCAATTGTGTTTTTCCAAATAAAATAGATATGAATATTTCGTCACTGTAACATCAAAGAACTCTCAGAAATAAATTTAACGTTTTTAGAACGTTTTAGAACTATGGACAAAATAGGGAAAAAGTTATGGTGAAACGAAAATACAAAGAAATGTATAATAGATGGCGGCCATTATGGCAAAGGTGTATGATTGATTACCTTACGGATCTGTTTTCATTGATTATTCTTTTGAAAGTTACCATTTTCTTTCAACACCGCAGCTGATTTTAATAGTTGAGTTTCGCGATCTCTTTTACGCTGTGTTAGCCTCAATTTTCATGCTAAAAGATTCAGAAATGTAGATAAAACTCGTGAGATTTCAAACTATTCCGATTGTCTTCTATACTCAAGAATCTCTTGCATTTGCACGGACTGTTGTAAATAAAATAATTTATTACATGGTTTTGAGGCTAACACAGCGTAAAAGAGATAGCTAAAAAGGTTTATTGATAACGACCAGCTTTATTTAAAATGTACGATTTATGAAGATAATTAAAATGCATCATAAATCGTTCAAATAATGTAAATGACGTCATTATGACGTCACATTTGGTTCTCACGAGTTAAGACTGGTGTGGTAGTTGGTTTTRCGTGGTTGATCAKTGTTTGAAAATTTCATGGACATAGACCTATTGGTTCCGAAGCCCCTATTCTACATAGTCTACATAGTTCCAGCACTTGACAACGTTCTTTGGGTTACTAGCTGTATATTAGTATGAGGTCTCATTGACTAGTAACCTTTATACGAACACTACGCCAAACTAAGTCTCCTCGCGGGGGTCAGGGAGCCCGCCACTAAGAACGGCTGCGAGGAGACTACGCCAAACTGACCTCAATGCCTTAACCCCTTTAGATGAAATAGATGAACAAGAGTGAATTTCCACATGTATATGCCACGGAAGTTATGAAAAAATATGATATTCTTAGAAATCAATTTATTGTTAAAACTTTCTTCAAGGAACGTGGTTTTGTCCATGTGAGCAACTCTTGGAAATGGATTGATACTTAGTAGTAGCCTCTCTCGTGACACTGAGAACTAAACTTAGTAGAATGCTTCAAGAACACCGCGAATTTTCCCTTTTGTGCGACAACAAGTATCTCTCGCATTACATTTGACAATAACAAGTAGTCTRTTATTAATGAAAACAGTTTCATTGATGGGYTAATAAAACAAACTCGCAGGTGTTTGGCATTATAATCTAAGAATCAACTTGCTTCACACATTCGCAAAGTGAACCATGAACAGCACAGACCGTACAAAATGCTTGTACGAATTTCTAGCAAAATTCATCTCCRAAGATATCGGCTTCTTTGCCTGTCCGCTTGTGGTGAATATCTTTTTGAACGCTGCACTTATAGTYCTTTCTGGCCTTGGAAATGGCTKTATCATTGGTGTTATTGCGAAGTCGAAGAATCTTCAAACTCCCTCATACTTGCTTCTTGCCAGTTTAGCACTGACTGATTTGTTAGTCGGTGTATTGTATCACCCAATACTTATCGCCATGAGCGTTTTTTATYTCACWGGYAATGTCGACGGAATTTGCAAGATATCTCCWATATTTGATATCTCTTCGCTGCTTSTGACTTTCTTGTCTCTYATTACGTCATTTTACATTAGTGTCGATCGATAYCTAGCAATTAAACTGATTCAGAGCTACAAAATTGTGGTTTCCAAGAAAAGGGTAGTCCTCCTTATTTCTGTCACGTGGACTGTAGCTGTAACAACAGCAATAAGCGCCACGGTTATTGAAGAATTGACCCTCTATTGGAGAACATTGTTCTCTTTGATGGGAATAGTAGTACTACTTCTCACTTGTGTGTTCTACATCAGATCGTTTTTAGCACTTCGTCGTTACACGTCACAAGTCAGCGCCCAGCTACAGCAAAGCTCACAAAGCAACTTYGATGCAGAGAAGTATAAAMGAACCTTGAAGACGATGATTATCTCGYTGGGATGTTTYTTAATTTGCTTCCTSCCGATTCTCTTAACGGTTGTCTTGATGACTTACATCCATACGCRACGGGAGACGCTTGTTTTGATAATGCTATCGTTCGTGATTTACTCACTGAGCTCAAGCTTAAATCCTATTATTTATTTGATACGATTTAGAGATATAAGACAATCCTGTCTAAAAAATTTCAAGCGCATAGCAACCAGTGAGTGGATTCAAAGATCTTCATTGAGATTCAAGGAAAATCAACAAAGTAGTAAATTCTGTTAAGAGTTGTAGCTATCAAGACGACCTGGTTATGCAAAGAACTCATAAGAAAACGGATTAAGAATTGATACATTAAGACACTCATATTAAATGTGACTAAAATTGATAAAATGAGTAGATATAGAATTGCTATATCGTACAAGCAACAAAAAGACTTCCGAAATGTTGTTTCATGTTGATATATTTTTTTCATTCATTGTAGTTTGAACTTATTTTAAAGTAATAACCAAGCATATGTTACCATTGTAAGCAGMAAACATCTGCTTTGCTGCCTCTGTCATGTCAATGTAGCCCTTTAGAAGCTCTTTTCGATCGATGCCCCTTGGAGTGTCAACTTTCAACGTCAAACAATTGCATCATTGTTTGTAGACCAAGTGCTCTTTAATAAAATGGTGGGAACTAGCGGTAAACTAGTGTGAGCTGCGTCGGTGTTTCTAAAGAAACAGTTATGTGAAAAGATAAATTTAACACCGTAAAAAAGGATGTGGAAAAACTTACTGACGTTTCGGATGTTAATCCTTCGTCGGAGTAAAGAGAGAGAACTAGGTAAAGTGTGAGTTTATATAGTAAGAGTAACAAAGAGAATAGACCAATAGGAGCAAGGTAGGCATGGTGACGAGAAATAAACAAAAAAGCAAAGGAAGTGTTAGACAAAAGAACAATAAAGGTGCTAAAAAAGAAAACAAAAGAATTAAAACTTATCTGAAAACAAAGCGTTCATTCAACCCATGGGGATTATAAGTGCCCAATTGGTGAATAAGCCGCATTTCTTTGGTTTTGCGACAATCATTATTGCCGCTAATCAAAGATGTCGCGTCGCCGGTGAGTCGCAGGTACTAGGGGACGCTAAGTGCCAACCAGAATCGTAGTTGTACCATTGAATGGGTTTTATTCAGAACTCCGCTCCACTCTGACCTCTCTCACAAACAATGAAACAATTCGTACAATTCGGTGAAAACTATAAGAAAACTAACGATTAACTATTGAATTACTTGAGTAGAATAAAGGACGTAACTTACGTTTGTTCCGGTGTAATAGTTCAGAAAACTTGAAATATTCTGCTAAACTTGTATGAACTCCAAAGAACTAGTGTTTACTCCGATGACTTCTAACTCCAACTAAACTCCGAAAGCCGCAAAACTAAGGCCGGGGCGACGCCCGGGTATCTTATAACAAGCTATCTCTAATACAATAGGCAAGGTATATGATTGGTTGA